GTTCCTACCAGGTAGGACTGTAGAGAGAGAAAGGGTTTGAGCAGAGAAGTAGCACAGCGTGTGCCAGGGATGTTTTCAGGGCACGGGATGCATCAGGTAGGGGAGGATACTCTATTCACGGGTTTAGAAGGGCCTCTTCCAGCCTGGAGCTCCTGGGGCGCAGTGGGACATACATCCTGCACGCCGCTGCTCACACCACCTTCCGCGTCCATTTCCATTCTTAGCTTCAACACAATCCTATCAGGGAGGCTGCCGGCCTGTTGGTCATGTGGACATTGCGATTCGGGGGTTTGTGGGCAGACCTTTGAGGCCGCTCTGCAGGAGAGGCCCATTCTGTTGAATAAGAAAACCTGGTGCAGTCCCTGAGGGGGTTGTCGCCTGGTGGTTGGGGGGCAGACTCAGGGACACGGGGCCTGTGCTCCATCAAGTCTTGGCTCTGTGACCTACTGTGTGACCTTGGGCAAGGTATTAGGGTCTCTGCGCTTCAGTTTCATCATCTGTAAAATGGGCGATAGTAGTTCTTACTGCACAGAGTTACAGTGAGGACGGCCTGAGTTAACGCATGTAAAAGTGCTGACCTCATGTTTGGCACACAGTACGCCCTGCACTGGTCTCCTTTGCCAGTTCTCCCAACCACAGAATGTTGGCAGGTCCCAAGAACTCAGTCTTCAGTCCCCTCCTTCTCCCTATGCACGTGTACTTCCCTGACAACCTGTCATTCTGTGGCTTTACATACAATCTACATGGCAATGATTCGAAAATTTGCATCTCTAGCCCCCAATTCCAGACTCAGACAGCCAACGGATACTTCCACTTAGATATCTACGTGTCTCTAACTGAACAGTCTGATCTTGACCTCTCCCCAAACTAGCTCCTCCTATCATCACTCATCCTTTCCGTTGCCCAGGCCAAACCCTCAGGGTCATTCTTGACTCCTCTTTGCCACTCAGGCCTCATGTCTCATCCGTCAGCAAATCCTACTGGCCGCACCTTCGAAACATATGACAATTTAACTGCTTTTCCCCACCTCCCTTGCTACCACCCTGGTCCATGCCACCATGATCCCTTGCCTGGGTCACTGTGGTAGCTCTCTCTGCTTCAGCCTGTTGTCAACACAACAACCAAGTCACTCTGTGAACACTGTAACTAATTCCTCTGTTCTGTTCACTCAGTGTAAAAGCCTAAGTCTTTTAAAAATAAGTTGTGAGGCCCCCTGAGATCTGCCCCCCCTCCTCCATCCCCTTGACTCCCTCACCCCCTGACCTCCTACCCCTCTTCCCTCCTTGCTCTTCCTCCATCAGGCAGGGCACTCTGCTTCCTCAGCATTTATGGGCATGGCTGTGACTTGCCCTTCCCAGAGATCCCTCTCCCTTCCAGAACACCACCCCCCCGCCCCTTAGATTTTTATACAAATACCATCCTCTCAGTGGGACCTTCCCTGGTCAGCCAATTTCAAATTGCAACTCTCCATGCTCCCTATTTCTTTGCCCTGCTTAATCCGAAAAACTGTTAAGGACTAGCACCATCTGAAAATAAAAAGAAGATGCCATCTAACATATTAATGTATCCTACTTCTTGTCTATCTGCCCCCAGAATGCAAGCTCCATGTGGACATGGATCAGTCCTGTCAGGGGCTACGTCCCCAGGGACATCAGAAAGTGTGTGCTAAATAAATTCATGGAGGAAGCCTTGCGCAACTGTTGGTTCTTAATTATCATCTCGGTGCATATCCGTCCGTGCCCTACCCTTTGCAAAAACCTCCTTGGGGACCGGAAATCTAAACACAGCTGGGGAGAAGAAAAAGAACCAGCCCGAAGTACCAGTGGCATAACAAAGTGGAAGTTCTAGTCGGTAAATACAAGGGTGGGCAAAAGTAGGTTCACAGTTGTGAGCACGCAAAATAGTTTTTCCAGACGAACAACTGTAAACCTACTTTTGCTCGCCCCTGCATACCTTCCCGGGGGGCTGGAAAGCTGGGCTGTGGCATCGATGCACCCCAGCAGGAGCCGCTGCACCACGGCGCTGTTTGGCTCCCTTTTCAGCCCGCAGGTTGGAGTCGGGAGCGCTGGGTTGCAATCCTAGTTTGTTTCCAGCGGCGCGGACAGGCCGACTCCAGCCCGGGGCTGCGGGCGGCGGGCTGCGGGC